TTTTTACTGACCATTCATTGTTCATGACATGTACAAATGTTTGTTTTCCGAACACACTAGCCATTCTTGTTTTCTCTAATTTGTGGAGAAAAACTGGCTAACAATAAAGGGTCAAATGTTGCAAGACATTTTAACAATACACACAGAGCCTTTGCTGAAAAATATCCAGAGGGAGAAGAGAGGAAAAAAGCTGTTTCGGAACTGATGCAGAAGGCTGACCGGACGAAAAATCAATTCAAGAAGTGGGTGAAGTCTGCAAATTCAACTACATATGCAAGCTTTGTGGCCGCTCAGGAAATAGGCAGGCATGGGAAACCGTTCACAGATGGAGAATATATGAAAGAATCATTCCTTAAGATTTCAGAACACTTATTTGCGGACTTTAAAAACAAAGACGAAATTGTGCAGAAAATCAGAGAGATGCCTCTCTCTGCGAAGACTGTCAAAGACAGAACCATAAAAATGGCAGAAAATATCACAAAACAGCAAATCAAAGACATCAATTCAGCAGCAGCGTACTCAATCGCCTGTGATGAGTCCAAAGACAAAACGGACATTGAACAAATAGCGCTGTTCTTCCGATATGTGAATTCTGCTGGACCACAGGAAGAAATGGTTGAGCTGATACCACTAAAATGCCAGACACGGGGGGAGGACATCTGTGAGGCTGTGCTTGATTGTTTACGAGCCAAAGAAATAAAAACAACCCACCTCGTGTCGGTGGCTACCGATGGGGCACCGAGTATGACTGGAGCGCACAGGGGCTTTGTGGCTTTGCTGCAGAAATCACTGGATAGAAAGCTGCTGACTTTTCATTGCATCCTGCACCAAGAGGCATTGTGCGCGCAAAGTTTTCCTCCAGAATGCACAGAGGTCATGAATGTTGTTATTCAGATTGTCAATAAAATATTGGCAAAAGGTTTAAATCACCGCCAGTTCCGTTCATTACTGGATGAGGTGGAGAGCGCATACTCTGATCTCCTGCTGCATAACAGAGTCCGGTGGCTGTCCAGAGGAGAGGTGCTGAAACGTTTTGCTGCATGTCTGGGAGAGGTGAAAACTTTCATGAGCAGCAAAGGGCTCACCTTTCCTGAGCTGGAACAGCCAGAGTGGCTGGAAAAACTCCACTTCATGGTGGACATGACAGCGAAACTAAACACGCTGAACACAACGCTTCAGGGGAGAGGAGGCACAGCGCTGCACATGCTGGAGGAGGTGTTGGCGTTTGAGCGCAAACTGACAGTTTTAGCCAGAGATTTACAGAGAAGCACACTGTCTCACTTCCCCTCTTTAAGGGAGTTCAAACAAGCTCACGGAGTGATCAATTCAGAGTATTTGCAGTCTGCAATCACCACAATGCAAGCGTCGTTTGGTAAACGATTCCGTGAGTTCAGAGAGGAAAAAACCACATTGTCCTTCCCCGTCACTCCCCTGACCATTGATCCATCCCTGCTAAACGTGACTGCATTTGCAGGTGTAAGTCAACCTGCTCTGGAGCTGGAGCTGGCTGACATAGCTGACAAAGACATTTGGGTGTCCAAATTCAAACGCTTGACAGAGGACCTTGAAGATGTTGCCCGTCAGAAGGCCACTCTTGCTCAGAATCACAAATGGAGTGATATTGAGAACCTCCCGAGACCGGACAAACTCATATTTGAAACATGGAATGCCATCCCCGACACCTACACGAACATGAAGAAATATGCCTTTGGAGTCCTGTCGATCTTCGGATCCACATATGTATGTGAGCAGCTATTCTCCACCATGAACTGCATTAAAAACAAACACCGCTTACGGCTCACAGATGACAGCTTACAGTCCTGCGTAAAGATGAAAGTGACTTCGTACAGCCCCGATTTGCAGAAGCTGTGCGCAGAGGTTCAGGAGCAGAAGTCCCATTAACCAGGTAAAATAAATATTTATGCAGATATTTTGCAAATATTTAATTTTCATTGTTTAGTGACACAGTGCTTTTTCCCCCAATTTATTTTATATATTCAGGTCAAGGCTCCGCTGCATACTTTGAAAGCCCAAGGCGATATAAGGATGACGGCTCACGGATTTTTCCCTTTTGTTTGCTGCATGCACAATTTAAATTCAGCTTTTTAATTTATTCGAAAGAGACATTCAGACATTATTATTTTTTCAAGAATTCAAAATGTGTTCATTACATCGGTAAAATTAAATTTTCTCCGTAGCACTTCATAAGACATAACCACACTATAGTTGTTTATACAAAGTGTAAAGGTAAGAAAAAGCAATATATACAGTGTTATCTTCATTTTAGATAAGATAAATGGATATAAGGATGACGCCTCATGGCATTTTTCTGCTTTCGTTTGCTACATGGACAATTTAAATTCAGCTTTTTAATTTATTTGAAAGAGACATTCATTGTTAGTATTTTTCAAGAATTCAAAATGTTCAAAATGTGTTCATGAAATGAATAAAATGTAATTTTCTCTGTAGCACGTGGATTTCATAAGAAACATGCTGCGGTAAAGTAGTAGAAGTTTTTTTTTTTTCATTTTAGATGTGCGGCTACCAGTGTTTTCTTTTCCGTGGAAACCGGGTTCAAATGGCTCTTTCGGTGTCAAAGGTTGCCGACCGCTGAGATAGAAGGCTAAAATAAAGCCCGTCATTTCAAAACTTCATTTCGAAACATTATTTTGGAGTCAGCCAGTCCTCCCTTAAGCATCTCCATTTATTCCAAAGTGCTGCAGCTCGTTTCCTAACTGGTGCCCACAGGAGTGGAGGAGATGTAATTATATATATACAGACGCTCCCCGACTTACGAACATCCGAGTTA